TGGTTCATCTTACAAGGGTACAAGTGAATCTTTTTATGAGTAGAATATGAATGTTTTAACACAATAACTAAGAAAGTTACATGAAGGCTATGTACCCCCAAAGTGCATCAATGTACACAGTTACCATTCAATAAAAAAAAAAAAAGAAAAAAAAATGGAGAAGCAAGAATCCAATGTACTCAATTCTGATATGAAGACAATTGATGCTAGTACATGGTGGAGGGTGGGGAATGGGGGAAGTGAGAGAAGGAAAAAGGGAGGAGAATGTGGGGCCACGGTGTGGGTGTGTGACACACCTCTTGGTATGGGACACTATTATTAGAGGGACTTTTCCAGGAAATGCAAACAGTGTAACCTAGTTCTTTGTACTCACAATGATTCCCTAACAATAAAAAAATAATAATATATTATTTATCTCCTATTATTTGAGGAGTAGAGAAAAGCTTTGAGGGTATTAAATGCTGATATATGCATACACAAGTACAAGGAGAACATATATTTTGGGGGAAAAATGTGTAGAATAGAGAATAAACCTGAAAGGAAAATGAGGTAGTATAAAAGATAAACTTTTCCTCTTTTAAAATTTTGTCTGGTGCTAGCCCCAAGTTCAGAAAAGAAAGTGGAGAATGATATTCTTTCCCATAACCCCCTTTTATCACTTTATTTCTCTGTTCTTTAAATCTAGATCTTATATCATGGTTTTCATGAAAAGTTTTTATAATATAATTTTTGAAGAAAACTAACCTAGGATTCGAATCCAAAGTACAAAATCTCAAACAAATGAAAATAGTGCAGATTATTGATTCCAAATAAACTTTGGGATCATATGTTTTAAGTTAAGCGCTACCATTATGGCCAACAAAAATATGGATAAAAAGTGATTATATATAATGGAGATGATCTATTTCATCCTTTTTTTGTTTTTATTTTAGAATTACAGGAGCATTGTTAAACTGGTCACTTGAAACAATAGCCACATATAAATTAGTCCATACATAGATAGTATAGTATATCATTATGTAAATTACATCCAGGATAAATAGTTCCCAGAGTCAAAATATCATATAGTTGTTTTTTTTTTTTGAGACACAGTCTCACTTTGTCAACCTCAGTAGAGTGCCATGGCATCGTATTTCACAGCAACCTCAAACTCTTGAGCTCAAGCTATTTTTTTTTTTTTTTTTGGCCTAGCCTCTTGAGTAGCTGGGACTAGAGGCACCTGCCACAATGCCTGGCTATTTTTCTTTTTTTTAGAGATGAGGTCTTGCTCTGGCTTGGGCTGATCTCTAGCCCTTAAGCTCAGGCAATCCACCCACCTCCACCTCTCAGAGTGTTAGGATTACAAGTGTGTAGCCACCGTGCCCAGCCTTATCATAGGTTTTTTAATTAAATTTTTTCTTCACTTTTCAATTTTGATGATAAAGTCAGAAAAATTTATCATTTACAGTAAAATATTAATTAATGCACAATAGGAAATATTTTATTTAGTTACATGATTTTTAAGCATGAATTTTTTGGTGAACAGTACCTGAATTTGAGATCAAATAACTGTTTGTGACTGACATCTTCTCACTCCTATTCCCATGGCCCAGCCCATGGTACCAACTGTTCTATTCTCTACTTCTGTAAGTTCAAATTTATTGTATTCTACATGTCATTGGCATCATATGGTATTTTTTTTTGTGTGTCTGGCTTATTTTGTTGAGGATTTTAGTCTTTAATTTCATCCATGTTGTTGCAAATAACAGAATTTTTAAAAAAAGATTGAATATTATTCTTTTGTGTTTATATACCACATTTTTTTTGAGACAGAGTCTCACTTTGTTGCCCTCAGTAGAGTGCTGTGGCATCCTAGTTTATAGCAACCTCAAACTCTTGGGCTTAAGTTACTCTTTTGCCTTAGACTCTCAAGTAGGTGGGACTACAGGCACCAGCCACAATGCTGGGCTATTTTTAGAGACAGGTCTTGCTCTTGCTCAGGCTGGTCTCAAACCTGTAAGCCCAAGCAATCTACTAGCCTTGGCCTCCCAGAGTGCTAGGATTATAGATGTGAGCCACTGCACCTGGCCTTATACCACATTTTTGTTTGCCAATTTATATATTGATTTCATATCTTGGTTGTTTTGAATTTCTATAGCATGATAACAAAAGTTAATATTAATGTACTGATATTGCTAAAAAGATATATAAGGTGAAGGATATTTTAATTACCTGGATTTAATCATTTCAACAAATATACATATGTCAGAACATTATGTTTATACAATTCAAGAAATAACTATGTGAATGTTCATCCTGCCAATTTGCAAGCTAACTAGTTTTGAGGATTTGAAATTTAGTTAAATTTATATAAAATGATAGAATACTAACCTCTTTAGTTTTTGGTGAGGATTAAGTAAACAAATATGTATATATATATATGGTGTATAATAGGTGATCAATAAATGTCATATAATTATATGTTATTGTCAATAACATTATGTATATAGTGTATAAATTTCCTTTTTGCCTTATACATTTTTACTACATATTGATATTGACTCATCCTATAGAAATATCCTCTGAAGTTATTTTTATTAGTGATATATGGACATAATTATATAAAATCTTGATAAGCATATTTTCCCTGAAATCTTTGAGGATTCTTATGAATAAACACACTGTTATTTCTTTAATAAAATTTGTTGTTAATTGGGCATTTTTCTTTGGAGCAATGTTTGTTTGACTTTACCTATTCTTAAATTTTTTTTTAATACTTAATTTTGTTTTCATAAGGACATGTACTCCAGTGAACAAAGTCACATAACTTCCTCAATAGTGATTTTCACCTCTAAGCATGTATTAAGAACATTTATTATTGCCTCTTGAATGTAACATTTTGGGGCTGCGCACTCTGGTTTACACTTATATTCCTAGCAGTTTGGAAGGCCAGGAAAGGAGGATTGCTTAAGGCCTGGAGTTCTAGACCAACCTAGTCAACATAGAGAGGTGCTGCCTCTACAAAACATTAAAAAAAATTAAAATTAGCAGTCATCTTGGCACATGCCTATAATGCCTGCTACTTGAGAGGCTGAGGTAGGAGGATTGCTGAGGCCAGGAGTTGGTGGCTGTAGTGAGTTACGATCACACCCTGCATATTCTAGCTTGGGCAATGGAGTGAGACTCTGCCTCAAAAAAAATAAACTTTACATTTTGAAATCAATTTATATGATATAGAATTGTATGTGCAAAGGTACACTGCTAATGATATTTTATGAATTCATCTTTAGGCAATCCAGTGGCATGAAGACTTTCAGCACTTGCAGTTTGAATGATTTTAAACATTTTGTTTCAAATGTGGGTGCCAGATGTCTTCAGAATAAGCCACAACTGCAGGATGGTGGAGGATCTGTCTGTGGCAATGGTGTAGTGGATGGAGATGAAGCCTGTGATTGTGGAACTCCAGAAGTAAGTGATAACCAGGAAATTGATTGATAAATTTGTTAATTTATCTTCATCTTTTTCATAAATGTTACATATTTCAAATACGACCAAGTACTATGAAGAATATTGAGAGTAAGTAAAATCAAGTTGAAATACATATTAGAAAATTTTGTCTAGGTTTTATGGGTGGGAGAGTTTTGAACATGTTTAGAATGTACTATAAAATAATTATTGATGATGGGGGAAAGAAAGGAGCCCAGAATAAGCTTTTGAGTTCTGGAATAAATATATAAGTTCTTTCTGAATCTCTGCATAACTTTTGGATCTTTATAATTATCTTATTGAAGATTAGTGTGTTAGCAACCAATCACATGTCCTTTATAGTTGTGGTCCCCAAATGAGTGAGGTTAACAAGCAAAGCTTTGTCTGTATTTACAGCCACTCCCCATTTCTAGAGTTTCTGCTTCTGCAGGATCTCTGCCTTCTTTTAGATGAGGGACAGCATTATATTCTCACAGGAATATGAACTCTCCCATAAACTGTGCAGGCAAGAGAACTAAATTGCTCTCCTGAGAATATACTGCCTGATGATCTAAGGTGTATCTGAGGTGGTGATGCTAGCACTGGGGAGTAGCTGCAAATACAGGATGTGAACTGCTAGTTACAGGAAAACAAGCTCAGGACTTCTGGTGATTCTGCATTATGGTGAGTTGTATTTCATTATATATTATAATGTAATAATAATAGAAATAAAGTACACAATAAAAGTAATATACATGAATCATCTCCAAACCACTATCCCCATCCCTCTCACTGGTCCATGGACACATCGTCTTTCATGAAACTGGTTTTTAGTGCTAAAAAGACTGGGGACCACTGCTTTAGGATATTGATTGACAATGATCAGTTATATGGTGAGAAAATCTGTGTTGATATTGAAGGTGATTTTCATAATTGATAGGGAAGCCCTGAAAATACAATGAATTCATAAGGCTCAGGGTATAAAGCTTCTATATAATTCAGTATTTGTAGCAATACTGCTGATATCATACATTTTCTTGATTACAAGATACATAGAAATGGCTTTTCAATGTGTACAGTCCAGCCCCTTTCTGGTTCCAGCTTCCTTGGAACAAAATAGCTTTTTAGGTGTACTTTTTTTATATTTCTCTTCCATTCTCCAAGCACAGTAAGACATGAACAAAATCCCAGTGTCTCTTTTTTATTATTTTAATTGTTAAATCATGTTTGTGCACATTAATACTATCATGGGGTACAGTGAGTTGTTTCCATATACAATTCGAAATACTTTCATCCAGTTGGCCAACATAGCCTTCATGTCATTCTCATAGTTGTGTTAAGACATTTATAATCATCATTTAGAAAGATTCACATGTACCCTTGTAGGACAAATCATAGGCATGATCCCTGCAATCCCCCTCCCTTCACCCATCCTCCCTGCCTCCCCTCCACTCTCTCTCCCCTTTCCCCATATTCTTGGACAAAAATTGGGTTATAGCTTTCCTATGATGCCTAACAGTTACTTTCATAATAGGGTTGGGTACATTGGATACTTTTCTTCAATTCTTGAGATACTTTGCTAAGAAGAATATTTTCCAGCTCCATCCATGTAAACATGAAGGAGGTAAAGTCTCCATCTTTCTTTATGAATGCGTAGTATTCCATGGTGTACATATGCCACAATTTATTGATCCATTCATGGGTTGATGGGCACTTGGGCTTCTTCCATGACCTAGCAATTGTGAAATGGGCTGCAATGAACATTCTGGTACAAATGTCTGTATTATAGCGTGATTTTTGATCTTCTGGATATATACCTAGCAGAGGAATTATAGGATCAAATGGCAGATCAATTTTTTGTTCTCTTAAGTGTTCTCCAGATGACTTTCCAAAAGGGATGTATTAGTTTGCAATCCCACCAACAGTGTAGAAGCTTTCTGTTTTCTCCACAACCCCACCAGCATCTTTGATTCTGGGATTTTGTGATATAGGCTAATCTTACTGGTGTTAGATGATATCTCAAAGTAGTTTGATTTGCATTTCTCTGATGATTAAGGATGGTGAGTATTTTTTCATATATCTGTACCATGCATCTGTCTTCTTCAGAGAAGTTTCTCTTTAAGTCCCTTGTCCATCCTGAGATGGGATCACTTGTTCTCTTCTTGCTAATACTTTTGAGTTCTCTGGATTCTGGTTATTAAACCTTTGTTGGAAACATAACCAGCAAATATCTTTTCCCATTCTGAGGGATGTCTACTTGCTTTTCTTACTGTGTTCTTGGCTGTGCAGAAGCTTTTTAATTTGAGGAGGTCCCAGTAGTGTATTTTTGATGTTGCTTCAATTGCCTGGGGGGGGTCCTCCTCACAAAATATTTGCCCAGGCCAACTTCTTCAAGAGTTTTCCCTACACTTTCTTTAGTGTTTTTATAGTTTCATGTCTTAAATTTAAATCTTTAATCGAGTGAGAGTCTATCTTAGTTAGTGGTGACAGATGTGGGTCCAGTTTCAGTTTTCTGCACGTCGCTAGCCAGTTCATCCAGCACCATTTCTTGAATAGGGAATCTTTTCCCCATTCGATGTTTTTAATTGGCTTGTCAAAGATCATATAGCGGTAAGTAGCTCGGTTCAGCTCTTGGTTCTCTATTCTGTTCCATACATCTACCTCTCTGTTTTTGTGTACCATGCTGTTTTGATCACTATTGATTTATAATATAGTCTGATGTCTGGTAGCGTGATCCCCCCACTTCGTTTTTGTTTCTGAGTAATGTCTTGGCTATTCGAGGTTTTTTCTGATTCCATATGAAATGCAGTATTATTTTTTCAAGATCTTTAAAGTATGACAATGGAACTTTAATAGGGATTGCATTAAAACTATATATTGCTTTAGGTAGTATAGACATTTTTACAATGTTAATTTTTCCC